GTTTCTCTCGACAACGTAGGTGATACTGAACAATAGTGAGTATCTGCGAGTACCACAGCTGTAAGCCAGCAACCGAAGATTTAGTAGCACAGAAATGTGGTTTAAAGATGAAGATGTGTTCACTGTAAAGGATCAAGCTCCCAATTCTGTCTGTTCCAATGGCAATCATTCTAAAGCTGATTGCAAAATTACAAGAAAATTACAATTTCATTGAGGTTTTCTTCTAAAAATTTAAAAAAAAACTAACACCAATATTTTAAGATTGAATTTTGTTTGGAGCGAAATTGATTGCATTGTTGCTGCTGACTTTGGCACGAGTCTCTTTACCACTTTTTAACACTTCCATTTTCATATTTCAGAATCCTCTCATAAATACTCCTCACTGCTCTACACATCGATTTCAATTGTACTCTATTACAATTCACCCTCCTTGCCATTCTCTTCACAGCAAATCCTTTTTGCCCGGTAACATTAGCGTGAAACATTTTCACAGTATATTCTCGAAGTTTTAATTCCGACTATTGAGATTCTTACATTTTAGGATTTCAAAAACTTATAGGATTATTCCGTACTACCCTATATATATTGCGAGAGTTTTTCCAGTTCATTTCAATCTTCCAAAGTTCGCTTGTTCCATCAAGGTTAATACTACAATTAAAAAAAGGACCGCATTTTTTTAGTTCCTTATCATGTATCACAAATGAAAACGCAATTACTTTTGGCTTCCATATGTTTCCAATGCAAAATCAGTTCCGAGTCCTCGTTTAGAACGCAACGTCTCGAGAATGTTTCCAATTTTTCTTGCTCCAGTAATGAAGATGATCGGTGCGGTAGCCGTGTGTAGCTAATACATTGAACCGAATTACATATTTCGCATAGATCATTCGAATACGAATCGCTTAACCGAATATTCGAGATTAAAAATGCGAATAATCCGAAAATTCGAATATCTGCCAATTCCGATCGAACTATTTAATTATGCGATTATTCGAAATCTTCAGTTCTCGAATCGAAGTTCGGCTGACCATCGAATACTCGAATATTCGAAAAGACGTGTTATTCGAACATTCAAACGTAAAATTTAATGTATGTAGTATAAAAAATTTGGATCCAAATTCCCAAGGTTGCAGTTGTCGTGGGACCTGGGACTTCTATGACAGAAGGGTTACGTTCTCGTTACTCATTTCTGTTCGAAAAAACTACATTTTAGTTGAGTCAGAGTTGGATCTTGTTAGAGCATCATTACTAAACGTGTGGAAGCTCCGACACATCCACCATAATGCCGAATTTACTCAGCTGTTATAGGCTGTGTAGCAAGGTTCCGACCGGAATTACACAAAATTCACTAATCTAGAAAACTCAAACACAGAGTTTTTTTAACATAGCCAGAGCTTGGGCCTATAATCGTCTCCGAAAAATGACCTATGTCACGTTTCAAAATCCACAGGCCACAATATCAATAGGTTTATGGTAGCATCGAGAACCCTGATACGAATAAAAAGAAAGTTTTGTAGGAAAAAGTTGAAGGTGGAGCTTATCTGAGGACATCTTGTATACAATAGCTCAGAGGCAGCTCCTTCTGATGATCACTTTTAGAAGTAACTCGCGATGCAGCTAAGTTGTTAAAGTGAGCTTAAAAAATTCGCTAACTGCAGCAGTTGTGAAACGTGATACAAAGATAGATCGACTCTTTTCTACTCCTCACCCAGGAATAGTTGGCTATGCAAACAGATGAAGTGCGGCAATGGTGTCTCTAAAAAACATTGGTGAATTTCAAATACGAAGTTTATATTGAAAAACGTTCATTTCAAAAATGAACCAATGAAATGAAAATCAATGAAAAATTCTCGAATAAAATATTCGCATATGCTTCAAGAATTCAAATATTCGAAATTCTTAAGATTTCGAATTATTCAAATTCGAATATTCAAACTCCTTTTCGAACTATTGCTATCGATTGGTTGAAAATTTTGATTTTCGAATTGGTCGGGAATTCGAAATTGCTAAAATCTTTTTGAAATATTGGCTTATAATATTCAAAAAATTTTCCTACAATTCCCAATGTATAGTAGCTAACCATTCAATCACATCGCTTGCATTGGCATCCTTCCTGAACTCGTCAAAAGCGTCGAACTTGCTTGGAGTCAAACACAACTCAAATGTGGTGTAGATAGTTTCTGGTCAACGTTCATATTTTTGTTCACCGCAAATCAATAAGATGA